CTGCGCACCGACACCTCTCTGCCGCCGTTCTACATCCTCGTGTACGTCGACGACTTGGTCTTTGCCACAGCTGACACTGCTGGACTCGCCTACGTGAAGTCCGAGCTGCAGAAGAGACACACGTGCACCGACCTGGGTGAACTGCGCAACTACCTTGGCTTGCAGATCACCCGGGACAGAGCACAGCGCACCATTACCCTGACTCAGTCACACATGGTGCAGCAGGTCCTTCAGCGCTTCGGCTTCACGTACTCCTCGCCTCAGGCCACTCCTCTGCCTACTCGCCACTCGTTCTCAGCTCTTCCTTCGGATGAGTCCGTAGAGTCGAGTGGCCCGTATCCAGAGCTTGTTGGCTGCCTCATGTACCTGATGACCTGCACACGACCTGACCTTGCATACCCTCTTAGCATTCTCGCACGCTATGTTGCTCCTGGGAGACACCGACCAGAGCACATGGCTGCAGCAAAGAGGGTGTTGCGCTACTTGTGTCGTACGTCGGGTATGGGGCTAGTGCTTGGAGGGCGCAGTCCAGTGGTCCTCACTGGGCACGCAGACGCTTCTTGGGCTGACGACCAGGCTACGCAGCGGTCGTCAGAGGGTTACACCTTCAGCCTTGGTTCCGGCTCTGTCTCGTGGCGGGCTACTCGCTCGTCTTGTGTTCTCGGCTCCAGTTGCGAGGCTGAGATCTACGCTGGGGCCATGGCTGCACAGGAGCTTCGCTGGCTCACCTACCTGCTGACTGACCTCGGAGAGCCGCCTCGTTCTCCTCCAATTCTGTACGTAGACAACAAGGCCATGCTGGCCTTGTGTCGAGAGCAGCGACTGGAGCACAGAACAAAGCGCATTGCTCTCCGCTACTTCCTTGCTCGTAAGCCACAGCAGCTTGAGTGTTTTATCGATGCCGAAATGCCCGGAGAGGTAGAGTTATGAATCTCCTGCGTCGGCCAATAGTAATAGCATGTCCGGCCAATAGTAATTCCGCTGCAGCAGCTTGAGTGTTTTATCGATGCCGAAATGCCCGGAGAGGTAGAGTCATGAATCTCCTGCGTCGGCAACTCTTGTAAGGGCCGGTATGACGAAACCCAAATTTAGTTCATACCAGCTTTTAAGTAATAATTCAGGTGTTGCGTGGATAAGTGGTGTTGGTTTCGCTTAAATAGCGACCAGCTTTGTACCCGTGGGCAAATAGTCCTGATAAAAGCGGCTGGATTGGGCGATGAGTACAATTGCGAACTGCATTGATGGTCATGTCAGGGTGTCGGTGATGTTTTTGGAGCCCTTCTTGTACGTGATGGTGTAGCGAAAGTTGGATGTCAGATAATCCAACCACCTGATTTGTCGCCGGTTGAGTTGCGGTTGGGCTCGCATTTACTGTAGTGATTTATGTAATGCCTGAGGCAATTGGACTGTAAGGTCTAGCAGCTGATGGGATTTTATGGCACCTCAAAGATCGGGCGTGCTTGGTTGCAAGCTGCTCGCAAGGTGATTCCCCAGTCATCGATGCCTGAGGCAAGGGGACTTCAAGGTCTAGCAGCTGAGGGGATTTCCTGGCATCTCGAAGATCGGGCTTGCTTGGTTGCAAGGTGCTCGCAAGCTAATTCCTCAGTGATCAATGCCAGAGGCAAGGGGACTGTAAGGTCCGGAAGAACCTGGTGGAGACGTGAGTGCTGTTTTGCACTCACATGTATCCTCTCAACCACCGCTAAACATCTAATTCTCTTTGGTTCAATCCGTTTCATCTTGTGAGAGGCCTTTGTTGAGATGCTATGCTGGCCTTGGTTGAGACGGTATGTTGGCCCCTATTTTGCAGCCATTGCCTTTCTGAGCTTTGGCTGACTCGAGATGAGATGGTGTGGTGGGTGAAAATGATGATGGCAGTGTTTTGCGGAATGGCACCATCAGCGGCAGCAACAACAGCAGCCGCAGCAGTGGCGGTGGCGGCAGCAGCAGCAGCAGCAGCAGCGACAGCAGCGGCGACGGCAACACCACCAGCAGCACCATCAGCACCACCAGCAGCATCAGCAGCAGGTGAAGAGGCAGCAGAGGGCTGGACCTCACTGAAAATAGAAGAATGCTTCTACAGTCTCAGCAGCAGGAAAGCACAGCGGTTGGCAGAAGCTACCTACGCCGTGTTCTTGCCACTTTTAAGACATTTGAAGTCATGTTGGAGCTTCTTTTAAGACATTTCAACTCTTGTTGATGATTTTGCAGAACACTACTCTTTTACAGGTTGCAGTAAAAACAGTGGGTGTGGCTACAGCAGCAGGAGTGAGGTGACAGGGATCAGGGATGCGGTTTGATCAGGAGTGTGGTTACAAGAGCACGAGTGAGGTTACAGCAGCATGCGTCGAACATGCACGCTCTTGAGCGTGCGCCCCCGTAAGTGTGTGTGCGTGGATGCATGCGCGTTCGTACCCACATACTCGCCAAGAGCATCCATTTTATGAGGGATAAGAACAGCATCGCTTCTATACACCACCACCCCCCCGCTCGGACTATCAAACAACACGTCTCCACTCTCCACCAACGCGGCTGCATACGGAGTTCCATCATTGACCACATGGCCATAGCGGTTGATGACCGTGCTTCTCGGAAACAGCAAGTCGGCCTGCTGCTGGGGCGATGATCCCGAGATGTTCCACATGCCGCCATACTTCGGACTGTATGAGATCCAGAGCGGTTGTCCATGCATCGTCGGAAGCTCCCAATGCCCGTCGATAGATGAGTACTGCCAATGAGGAAAGAGGATCAGAAGAGGAAGCATCACGAGAAAGATGACTTTTTAGTCTACTCAAACATCCAGAGCGGCTGTCCATGCATACTGCCAATGCCTGTCTATAGATGCGTACTGCCATGCTTAATTAGTATCACATGGGGACGGATCACAGGCGGTTGCATAATGAGTAATCTTGAAAAGAACGGCGCATGACTTGCCAAATAATCGGATGGAATCTCGTGATGAAGACGCTGCGGTAGAATGCACAACTTTGCAATGCCCTTCTTACGTTTTCTCAAGCTACCGTGGCGGAGATTTGCCAAAGGATCCACAATACTTTATTCAACATGATAAATTGGCCCTCCATTTTTTTAATTTACCCAAAGACTTTTTTTTGAGAAGGATTGATTTGCATATGGTGACAGATTGAAAGACTCACTATGAATTGTGTGGCGAGGGAGGCGGTATCTACTCCTCTCACCCTCTGAAACTTCCAGAAGTGTGAACATGTTCACTGCGGCCCACTGCGGTCCATTGCGGTTCTGCGGTCCAGGCCTAATGTAATTTGGTTCAGAATCTCACCTTCTGCATCGCGACGGAGGGCGGAATGTACCGTTTCACAATCTGAAACTTCCAGATTTCCAGCATCGCTCCCGCAACCGCCGCAGAGACGTTTTGCCCGACGACACACTGATTTCCTGACGCGCCCCCTTCGAACATGCACGCGAGCGCGTCCGCGACGGCCTGGTCGAACTTGCGCGTCGCGTTGTCGTGCTTGGGGTAGGAAACAGACGCGGCGTATAGGGCGTCTAGCTGTGGGAGGAATATTGTCACGTTGGCGATGTCTTTGGTCCCGTCCAGCGCGAATAGATGCTTTAAGAGAGAGGAGTGAATGTCGTATGGCTTCGAGGGTGATTCTAAATCGGTCACTGGAATTGCGCGGGTGGTCGTGGGTAGCTGTGCAAACGACGCGGCCACGAGCAGCAGTACGACACCTAAAATCTGCCCCGAGAATGAACGGTTGGCCATTGCGGTTGTCTTCGAGAAGGAGCGAGTGCGTGAAGTCCCTTGCAACACACCGCACTTCCTAGTGGTAAGAAAATGAGGAAGCAAGAAGCTATGAGAAAGCGAGGTTGCGACTGCTTGAAAGTTGGAATCTGGGTGGGAATTTGGAAATGATTTGACAAGAAACTGAAGGGATGACGGGACTTTTTATGCTTGGCGATGGCCACTCCGAGTCGCTGGAGGATTGAGGCATTCGCGATGGACAAAAGAAATTCATCGTGAATGCCTCCGCAATGCCTCATCCCTCGCATTCGCGAAGGGGATGCTCGAAGCGTTTGCGACGAATCCCTGTCAACCCACGAATTGCAGGTCTTGGATCAATCAAGAAAGTGGTTGAGTTTTCGTCGCAGCTCGTAAATGCCAGCTTTGCTGGAGTGCGAACGTCGCAGCTCGTAAATGCCAGCTTTGCTGGAGTGCGAACATTTTTCTCGCGAACTTCTTGGGAGATCGTTGACTTCAACAGACTGGGCGAGCGCACTGGTTAGGGGGGAGGACATTAAAGCAGCGGATTGCTTTTGGGTACACCCTGTTTCGCGCTAGCAGAGCATCTGGTTGCAGAACATGCACTGGTTGTAGAACGTCACCACGTTTGAAATGGTCTTATCACCGACGGTACAAGCACATTCACAAGAAAGCGGTTAGCTAGGATGCTGCATGGTAAAGAACATAACCAAGCGTTTCAAAGCGGTTGAAAAGGGTATACAGCGATAAAGAAATTTTTTGCCCCCAGTACCACTCCGTCAGCTGGTGCGGCTTTGCCCGCAGGTTTCAGCCATACGGTTTATGGCACCTGACCGCACTGTAGCAGCGAATCGCGCAAGGTGAGAGGGTCGAGAAACAGGGTGTAACCGCATTCCAGTTTGGCCATCCGTCATCGTGCTGGCATGCCGTTGACCTGACAGCCTGGACCAGAAGGAATCCGCTTCCTTACGAAGTGACCAGGCCTTACCCTCTACACACGGAAAATGCTTGAACCAAAACACTGTGAATCGAACATACAGTTGGTATCCGCAATCCACTCTAGCGGAAAAAAGGAGGTCTAAAAAACTCCAGACAATTGCAATCCGTGCACAATGCATAACTCGGGGAATAGAAGCGGGCGGACGAATGCACAATAAATCCATAAATCTCAATGCCACACAACCACAGGTTCCAGGTCCAGGCGTTGTGGTTTGCACTTGTGGGAGCCGGCGGCTGATCACTTGTAGTATGATTGTATTCAGAAGAAGAATCCATACAGCTCTATGCCACACAAGCACAGGTTCCACGCATTTTGCTTTGCACTTGTGGGGCCCACCAAGCGAATCCGGAAGAATCGCGCTGGGCCAATCACATCACACGGTTTGGCAGGTGATGCACAGGTGTCAACTGGCCAGGAGGCATGCTGCCCCAAGCCAACCACATCGCAAGGTTTATTCGACAGTTTGGTGGGGTTGATTGCGGTGCAGATGTCAACCGGCCAGGAGGCATACTGGCCCGGGCGGCAGAGGGAGGTGTCATCTGAGTGGCGCCGAAGGCTCGTCCAATCAGATCCATTGTTGGACGCCTGGGGTAGGGTGTGAGGGAGTAGGGAAGGGAGAAGTAAATGGCAAGGCTCTGTTTACTGTGCTCAGTGAGTATAGCAATCTCGGTTCACACCCTCTCTTCCCGCACGCCCTCTCTTCCCGCAAACCCTCTCTTCCCGCACACCCCCTCACACGACACCTTCTTTGCAACCCTGATCAACCGCAGCACCCACCTCAAGGCACCACGAGCGCATGTAGTTGGGGCTGCCGGCCTGCTGAGCACACAGAGCACACCATCCCATACCTCTCAACCCCTCCTCAACCGCAGCACCCACCTCAAGGAACCACGAGCGCATGTAGTTGGGGCTGCCGGCCTGCTGAGCACACAGAGCACACCGTCCCATACCTCTCAACCCCTCCTCAACCGCAGCACCCACCTCAAGGCACCACGAGCGCATGTAGTTGGGGCTGCCATCCTGACGGACTGTGTAGAAGTTGCAGAGAAGCTGCAGCGGGGGAAGAAAGGAAATTGGCGGAAGAGGGGGAAGAGGGGGAAGAGGGAAATGGGAGACAGGGGAAGCGAATGCGGGCACATATGTAGTTGGGGCTGCCGTCCTGCCTGACAGCGTAGAAATTGCGGAGAAGCTGCGGCGGGGGGGGGGGGGGGGATGGGGAGGAGAGGAGAAGAGGAGGGGGGACGCGTTGCGACATAAGGGAAGCGAATGAGAGAAGGAGACATGCAGATGAGCGCATGTAGTTGGGGCTGCCGTCCTGCTTGACCATATAGAAGTTGCAGAGAAGCTGCGGATAGGGGGAAAGGGTAAGAGGGGGAAGGGGGGCAGGTGAATGGGAGAGGGGCGATTCGAGATAGGAATAGCTAATGTTACAAGGAAACAAATGGAATTGCGTACATGTTAAGAAAAAAGGACAAATTGCAGGTACTCGAAACAAGCCTTGTACTTCTCCCCCAGGTCGATCTGCCACCAAGCGTGTTTTGAGTCGACTCAAAACACACCTCGATCTGCCAACAAGCCGTCACGCAACCCCCCTCATACACGGCCCCAGCTAGGACCCATCCCCACAAGATCTAAACTGCTGAGATTATAAACCCCCTCCCACTGAAGCAGCTCTCTCTCTCCCTCTCCCTCTCTCCCTCTCCCTCTCCCTCTCCCTCTCCCTCCCCCTCCCCCTCCCCCTCCCCCTCCCCCTCCCCCTCCCCCTCCCCCTCCCCCTCCCCCTCCCCCTCTCCCTCCCCCTCCCCCTCCCCCTCTCCCTCCCCCTCTCCCTCCCCCTCTCCCTCTCCCTCTCCCTCTCCCTCTCCCTCTCCCTCTCCCTCTCCCTCTCTCCCTCTCTCTCTCTCCCTCTCCCTCTCCCTCTCCCTCTCCCTCTCCCTCTCCCCCTCCCTCTCCCCCTCTCCCCCTCTCCCTCTCTCTCTCCCTCTCTCCCTCTCTCCCTCTCTCTCTCTCTCTCACCTTGTGCTTCTCCCCCAAGTCGATCCGCCACCAAGCCGTCACGCAACCCCCCTCCACACCACACAAGGCCCCGCTTCTACTCCTACGATGAAAACAACCCAGTTTCTTTTCACACCCCCTTTGACTGAAAAGTCGCCCTGTAGGGTGCTCTCGAAACAACTCCCTCTCTCACCCTGTGTTTCTCCCCCAGGTCGATCCTCCACCAAGCTGTCACGCTGCCTCCCTCCACACAAGGCCCAGCAAAGGATGAGCTCTGCAGGAGTGGGGTTGGGTGCAGAAAGGTTGTCGGGGTGGGGGAAGGATAGAGGGTAACAAGTAAGACATGAGCAGCACCCCTCCACACAAGGCCCAACAAAGGATGAGCTTTAAAGGAGTGGCGCTTGGGCATATAAGAAGGGGGTCAATTAAGGTGTATAGGTCCAACCACCACCACAAAGAACTTAGTCACTCAGTCACAATGCTGTGTATAGTTCCCTGTCACTGTGAGCTGCCCTCAGTCGGTGTACGACAGGATAGGGCTTCTGGTTGTCACTGCATGATACCACATAGTACCACTGCACCGCATTGCACCGCATCACACACTGCATTTCACCGCATTGCACTCCCCACTCACCACATAGCCGCCCGATACTACGACCTCGCCATCGGTGTAGCGCGAGTGGAGGTTGCTGGCTGCCACTGAGAGGGCGAAAGAGCACATGCTAGGCACCAGCAGCGCACAGCACCGCACCAAGCCGTATTCAACCGCACTCTACCACACACACTCACCACATGGCCGCCCGATACTACGACCTTGCCATCGGTGTAGCGCGAGTGGAGGTTGCTGGCTGCCACTGAGAGGGCGAGAAAACTAATGCTACTCACCAACACCACACAGCACCGCACTAAACAGCTTTCAATTGCGCACTAGCACACTCTACCACACACACTCACCACGTAGTCACCCGAGACGATGACCTTGCCATCGGTGTAACGTGAGGGAGGGCTGCTGGCTGCCACTGTGAGGGTCTGACGGGGGAGGGAAGTGGGTGGGTGCGAGGTAAATTGGCAAGAGAGGGTGGGTGGGTGGGTGGGTGGGTGGGTGGGTGGCTTACGATGCAAAGAAAGGTGTACCCACCCACTTCCACAGGGGTGTTCGACTTGCTGGAACAAATGTCTCACCCCCACCTTAATCACTCCCTGCAATACGGGATTCATCGAGGGATACGAGGGATTCATCCCTGCCCATACGAAGTGTACCCACATGGAAGCAGTTTTGAGTCGACTCAAAACTAGGCCCACACCTTAATCACTCCCTGCAATTCGGGATTCATCGAGGGATACGAGGGATTCATCCCTGCCCATACGAGGTGTACCCACATGGAAGCAGTTTTGAGTCGACTCAAAACTAGGCCCACACCTTAATCACTCCCTGCAATACGGGATTCATCCAGGGATGCTGCCCATACGAGGTGTACCCACATGGAAACACACGCTGCTCCGATCCCCGTCGTGCATGTATGCACTACAAACATCACATGTGTATTGAGGAACATGAGGAGCACTCAAGGCACCCAATGGCTGATGCAACACATGACTCACCCCCAGCAGCATGGGGTTCAACCAGGGGGGTCGCCCGTACATGGTACCTGCAGGGAAGCTGCAGGGAAGCTGATTTTGAGAATTCTCAAAATCAACCTCAAACAAAGCAGGGAAGCACACAACGTTCCGATCCCCATCGTGCATGCACGCACACATGAGATTCACACTGCATACATGGTGTAACAATTGACTCACCCCCAGGAGCACGGGATTCATCCAGGGGTGCCGTCCATACGAGGTACCCGCATGGAAACACACGCCGTTCTTATCCCCGTCGTGCATGTATTGAAGGACGCGAGGAACACTCGAGACACCCGCCAACAGCCGTTCAGCAGCCAGCAGCTTTTGCGTGAGCAGCTGCTGACTCAACCGAGGGCCATCGGCCTTTCGAGATGCCCCAAAGCCAAACCCTCTGGAAGCATTGCTCCTCTCCCTCCCCCCCCACCCATCTTCAACTCCTGCCATTGGCGTTCCCTCCCTCTCTGTACAGTCACCTACCCCCCCTCCTAGTGCTCTGGAATGAGGCGGCACTCTTTCCCGTTCGATATAGTCACACTTCACCCCCTCCTCTCGGCTTGCAGTGTCTGCTACCCCCGCTGTTATTCCACCCGCCTCCATCCTGTCACTAGCTGCCAAAGAAACCCGACCGGGCGGCATGGATTCGTCCCGACATGTCAACCCCCTCCCTGTCAACCTTTGCTTATCAGTTGTCTTCTCTTCCACATGATTCTCGTCACCCATTCTCTTCAGCCCTCGCTCCTCCCCTCGCTCCTCCCCTCGCTCCTCCTCTCGCTCCTCCACTTGCTCCTCCCCTCTCTCCACACTTTGCATAAACCCCCCAACCACATTGCCCCCCTCTCTCCCCTCTCCCCCTTCGCAGTCTCTTCTCTCTTCCAACTTGTGAGCCATCTCAAGATTCTCACCTGCTCTCTTCCTCCACCCATCCGCTCCGTCTTGCCTTCCCCGATTCTCCCTGTTTCGCCGCCGTCCCCCCTCTCCCCCATCTTCCACCTCACCATCTCTTCCCTCCCCCGAGTTTTCAAATGTCTTTAAACTCTCCCCCGCTCTCTTTCCCCTCTGATCCTCCCCTTCCATCCCATCCCACCGCTCTCCATCCCCAGCCACCCCTCCCTCTCCTACTTCCTCCCTATCCCCCTGTCTCAACCCCACACACATGCTTCGACTAGGCTTCTGAAATAATGCAGCCCCTTTTTCCAGCACCTCACCCCCTTCCCTTGCTGCACCCGCCCCATGCGTGTGTGCCTGAGCACCCCTCTCTCTCGCCACGCACCCCTCTCCACAGCTCTCAAGAGACCACGCCCGCGGCACAGCAGCCGCCGAGCCTGACGGCCAGGGTCGGGACGGGAGGTCCGGGGACGCAAAACGGACGATCCGACGGCCGAGATCTACCTGGATATCATCCGACTGAATCGAATCTAACCGGGCAGAATTGGAGTGGGGTTGGTGGGCCAAGGAGAGACTTAAAGCATGCCCATAATAATCGGGGGGAGAGAAACCGTGAGAGAGACTGTGGGAAAATGTTTGGGGAAGGCTGTGTGAATGTCGTTTGCCTGTTTGTGATTCAAATGTCTCAGAATTTGAGAGGTGGTGTGCGGTAAAGGAGAGGGAGGAGGAGTGGGGATGGTCTTGTGATGCCCTGGGTGCATGGGTGTGTGGGTTGCGACGAGCAATTTCCTTGACAGCCTGAAGGGCGAGAGAAGGGGAGTGAAGGAGAGAGGAGGGGAGGGGGGAGGTGGAGAGAGAGGATGGGCGAGGCAAGGAAAATGCGGGAAAATCCACGACAACACACGGAGAAAGATTTGACAACAAGACTGGTGGAATTGGGAAAGAGCTCGAACATGAGAAGTTCAGAGGTGATGCCATCCACGTGGCAAAAGGGTGCACGAATTCAGGGAAACGTACGGATCGGCAAATGGTGGGAAGCCACGTGGCAAGTAGGCTGTCCCTGAGCCTGACGAGGAGCGAATCAGGCAGCGACATGAACTGCACGTGCTGCAGCAACCCAGAAACTTCGTCATCCTCCTCCTCCTCTCCTTCGTCCTCATCACCCTCCTTCTCTTCTATCCCTTCACTCTCCTCCTCCTCCTGCCCCCCCCCTTGTAGCATGGGCTCAGCCCCTTCCAGCTGTAGCCGGCCCAAAAGATCGGCTTGAATGAGATCTTCGATACCAGGAGCCTCTGCTACAGCCGGATCCTCCCCCTCCTCCTCCCCCTCCTCCTCCCCCTCCTCCTCTCCCTCCTCCTCCCCCTCCTCCTCCCCCTCCTCCTCCCCCTCCTCCCCCTCCTCCCCCTCCCCCCCCCCTCCTCCCCCTCCTCCCCCTCCTCCCCCTCCTCCCCCTCTCTCATCATCATCTCCCTCACTGCTCGCTCCGCCTCCTCCCAGCTGCTGACGTCAGCACGCTGCATGGCCCACGTCAGCACAGCGTCCAGCACTCGCTCCTCATTGGCTGTCCAAAAGAAGGGGCTCTGATAGGCGGACATTAGGTTACCAACCGGTAACCGCACAACAGTGGTGGTGAGGTAGTGGGAGATTAGAAGGAGAGACAGGGAAGGGAGGGCGAGCAGGGGTTGGGTTCATGGAAAGATGCCTCCAGGTAGAATGATTGGATTCGAATAAATGTGGGTGTAAGAGCAGAGAGGCATTGCGGCACACCTGCAATACAGCCGTGAGCGCACCAGCCGGCAGCCCTCTCAGCCCGTCCACATCAGCATCAACGCACCGCTCAAACCGCGCCGCGGCCAATGAGGCGGCGACAGCTGTCAGGTGAGAGCAGGCTTCCCCAGGAACTGATGCAGCAACTCGCAGCGTGGTGAATGCTGATGACTGGACAGGGGAAAAAGGAGAGTGAGTTAAGAGGTAAAGGAAGATGAGCAAAAGGAGCCATGGGAGCTGTCAGGTGCGGGCAGGCTACACACACCTAGCAGCCAGTGGCTGCAGGAGATAATCGCACTCACCTCTCACGGCAAAGTCATGTCGCTGTGACTGCCAGTGGTTGCCATGTTACCAAGAGATAATCGCACTCACCTCGTCAACACACGTCAGCAGTCGCTCATTCACTGAGTGGTGGAGAGCTGGGATGCAGAAGCGGTCAGCCAGACACAGCAGCGACAGCAGCACGCCCTGAGTGCTCTCAGGTGCTGCTGCTGATGCAGACTGTAACTGTGACGGGGATAGGCGTGATTGTAATGAGGGTGACTGTAATGGTGGCGACTGTAATGGGGGAGACTCCAATGGGGCGGACTGAAATGTAGGCGACTGCGACGGGGGTGACTGTTCTGAGAGTGACTGTATCAGGTGTTTCCGTTGAGAATGTGACAAGGGAGTGTGGGGGAGAGTGTGGGGCAGCTTTCCGGTATAGAAGAAGTACAGGAGAGCGGCAACGGCTTCATTAGAAGCACCTCCTATTACAATCTCGTGCGAGGTGGCTTCTCGCATGCCACTAGTCAGCATCTGATGGACAGCGTAGGAGCGAATGGGGGTGGAAGGAGGTTGAGAACGACCCCTTGGCGTTCTGTATGCCAGGAAAACTTTTTTCTTATAAAAACAGCATTACAAGCACAAAGAGCTGAGGAAGAAGGGAGCGGGAGGGTATACAACAGGGAGCAAGGAGCAAAGCAGAGCAGGGAGCAGGAAGCAGGAAGCAGGGAGAGCAGGAAGCAGGAAAAATACTCGCCTTGTGAAAGGCGGCACTCCAGGCACAGAGCACCACTCGGTGCACTCGAAACACAATACTGCTGGACTGCGCCGCCCGCACGCTCACATCACTGTAGCTGCAGGAATCATGTTGACTGTGAGTATGGCCGTGTCCGACTGCATTGCTGGCTCTTGGAATCGGCTCCGTAAACTCTCTTGTGTCTCTCGCCTCTCTACCGTCTCTCACCTCGCTCCCTCCTCTCGCCTCTCTACCGTCTCTCACCTCGCTCCCTCCTCTCGCCTCTCTACCGTCTCTCACCTCGCTCCCTCCTCTCGCCTCTCTACCGTCTCTCACCTCGCTCCCTCCTCTCGCCTCTCTACCGTCTCTCACCTCGCTCCCTCCTCTCGCCTCTCTACTGTCTCTCACCTCGCTCCCTCCTCTCGCCTCTCTACCGTCTCTCACCTCGCTCCCTCCTCTCGCCTCTCTACCGTCTGGCGCCTCGCCCCTGTTCAATTCAGCCCCTGAAGAAAAACCCATGTGACTGCCACCACAGCAGTCGCATCGCAGGTGTTGAAACAAATGACGGTCGGGCGTAAGCAAATGGGTCGGAACCCCGGCTGCTTCACCAGAAGGGATCGGACCTGCACTTGCAGTTGCAGGTGCGCTTGAATTCAGGCTTCCGCCTGCAGTTACACCTGCCTCTGCGTTTCCACCCGAAAAACCACCTGACCGAGCGCCTGAACTCACATAATCGCCTTGCCTCAACCATCTGCTCCCCTGCTCCTCAACAGACAGCCCTTGGGAGCAGAGCTGCTGCGAAGCGGATTGATTCGACTGATTCCCGTTTCTAAAGGCGGGTCCATCTTCGCCTGTAAGTCCCAAGAGACCCACACCACTTCTGAGGTTCGTTTTCTGTTGGCCCAACGCATGCTCCCGCTGCCGCTGACTCCTGCCGACTGGGTAACACAGACACACTACCCTGTTAACCTGCATTGACTGTGAAGCACTCATTGACTTGGCTGACTTGGCTGCATCCCCGTTCCCAGCGGCTGTAGCATTGGGAGTAGCGGCCCTTCTCTCTGCTGCTACAGCCGCAGAGGCGCCAAGCACTAGGTTTTCCTCTGTGACACAGGATCCCATAGCGCTCTGTCCAGATGCAGAGTATGTGCTCGCGTGGGCGGGTGCAGATGCGGAGTATCTAGATCCATGCCCATCCAGTCCTGCTTCACACGCCTGCTGCAATTCTTGCGCCCCTAGCTGGTGCGCGAGAGAGAGGAGGGGGCGGACGAGCGAGATGGGCACCTGCAAAGGAGGGATGGTGAGGTGAGAGAATGGGTGTTAGAACAAGTAAGGGCGATAGCTGAGGGCGTGTTTGCTGCAGCTCCTGCTCCCCCAACTGGTGTGCGCGAGAGAGAGGAGGGGATGGACGAGAGAGAGCGGCACCTGAAAGTTGAGGGAAAAGAAAGAGAATGGGTGATGAGACAAGGGGAAGGGCGACATGTGAGGGCGTGCTTGCAGCAGTTCCTGCGTCCCCAACTGGTGTGCGAGCGAGAGGAGAGGGTGGACGAGCGCGGGGGAATACCTGAAGGGGAAGAGGGGAAGAAGAAAGGGAGAGGAGAAAATGGCATGAGGAAGAGAATCCGAAGAAGAGCAGGAGGGAGGCCTGAGACGTCTCACGAGCAGAAAGAGGTTTAGGGGTGAACGTGAGGCAAGCAGACCACAGCTAAATTTGCTTACGAGGAGAGGTAGGTAGAGATAAGAGGGGAGAGAGGAGAGAGGAGAGGTAGAGACAAAAGGGGAGAGAGGCGAGGGAGAGACAAAAGGGGAGAGAGGAGAGAGGAGAGGGAGAGACAAAAAGGGAGAGGGGAGAGAGGAGAGGGAGAGACAAGATGGGAGAGGAGAGAGAGAAATGGGAGAGACAAGAGGGGAGAGGGGAGAGAGGAGAGGGAGAGACAAGGGGAGAGAGAAGAGGGAGAGAGAGGGGGAGAGGGGAGAGAGGAGAGGGAGAGACAAAAAGGGAGAGGGGAGAGAGGAGAGGGAGAGACAAAAGGGGAGACGGGAGAACAGAGAGGGAGAGACAAAATGGGAGACGGGAGAGAGGAGAGGGAGAGAAAAAAGGGGAGAGGGGAGAGAGGAGAGGGAGAGACAAAGGGGGAGAGGGGAGAGAGGAGGGGGAGAGACAAGAAGGAGAGGCGAGAGAGGAGAAGAGAGGGAGAGGGAAGAGAGGAGATGAGAGAGGAGAGGGAGAGGGAAGAGAGGAGATGACATAGGAAAGGAAGGGATGAGTGCGAGTAGATTTAGCTATAGGAAGAGCATCACCTCAAGTCGCCCCATGTAGTAGAATGTGAGGAGCAGCAGAAAGAGGTTGGGGTCAACGTGAGGCAAGGAGACCACTGGTGGCTTCTCTTCACCCTGCTGCTTCTGTAGTGAACCAGGAGACTGAAGTGAGCTGGGTTGTGGTCGTGCTACTGCTGCTGCTGCTGCTGGCAATCTTCCGTCCCCCACACTGGCCATATTGGCACCATCACTCCCTGAAACGGTTGAAACACCTCCCACCGATAACCCACCACACCCCTCAGAACCGTACCTCCTGCACAAGGCTCCAAAGCCTGGCCATGCCGCTGCTAAGACGACGCGATGGGCAGGGAACTGGCGAGATAAGGAGGAAGAGGGGGCGGCAGAGGTACCCTCAGTCTCCCCCTGTGCTGCGCTCACTTCACATGTGACCAACAGAGGTCCCATCAGAGACCCTGTCCCTCTGTCTTGCCTGCCTGCATCAGCACTAACAGCCCCATCGTCTCCCCCAACGGCAAAAACGATATCTGAAAATTCGTACGAGTTGACCAGAGACGCCCAGAAGCCACGTGGCGACGAGCCATTGGTGCTGTCAAGGTTGACTCGGCTACAACTGGGGTGACTGTAGCCGATGGTGCCACTTCTGCTGCCATACACACTCTCACTGCTATGATCTAGATTCCACTTGCTGCTGCTGCTGCTGCTGCTGTTGCTGCTGGGGCTGCCGTTACCATTTCTGCTGCATGTGCTGCTGTTGCTGTTGTTTCTGGTGCTGGTGGTACTGATGATGCTGCTGCTGTGAATTAAACAGCCTTCCCTGCCTCTTCCCCCCATACTTTCCCACACAGACCTCGGGATCCTTACATGTGGTAACACGCGGATGTTCCTATATCCAACGTGCTTATCCCACGTGCTCAGCCCGACGAACCTAACGTCCAGGTTCGGGTTGCGGTCCTTGTATAAGAGTACCACCCGCCTGCCAGGCTCGGCACCCAAGCCTACAGCGATCTGGCCATCCACCACGTTTATCCAAAAGGCTCGAAATTCCGACGGGGCGATCGCCATGTGAGGCCCACCGCCGTCTACAGTATCTACACCGCTATAATGACATACAGTACGATCACTTTTAGAACCTAAAAGCCTTGCAACGAATTGAAACGGCAAGTGAGCGAAGCTGGCCAAACTGCCATGGCTGCTACATGTAAAGCACGTGCAATACAATCTGCTTTTGCTGCTGCAGCTGCTAATCTCGTTCCTCCTGCCGCCGCCACTGCTGCCGCTGCCGCCGCTGCTGCTGCTGTTGGAACCAATCCTGTTCTTCCACGTGGCAGTCCCTCCGCCAATACCAGACTGCAAACACTCAAAATTAGTCGTTTCAGCCACAGCTACCCCATCAACCTCCAGCTTAAGCCGCCTATTCCTATGGCTGCCGAACACGACCGTGTAATTCCGACCCGCGTCCGTCCGATAGTGCCGGCTGCCGTCGCGCGTGTCCTTAATCACCACCGTCGCGTCGTTCTCGCCTCGCACCTCCAGGACCACGCACCCGCGGCCCGGCCGGCCGAACTGCAGGCCGGCGCCGTCCAGCCATGCGCATTCGAACGGCGGCACGACGACGACGCTGTTAGGCGCCACGCGCACAGCCGTCGCAGACATGTCGAGTATTAAAAGAAATATCTGTAAAATAACGGTCAACCACGCGCAGTCACTACGACGACGATGCAGGTAACAAACTAACTGTGTAACCAGCAGCACCGGCCTCGCTGTGATTCTATTCTGGAATATTACATATCACGCTACTTGACTACAAAAAACGCGAGCTCGACGTCAGGGAGTTTCGCGAACACGCGGGTTTAGCACAGTGAAGATGGGAACCGCGGCTCGTACTGACTCGATCTTCAACTCTGTGAGTACTTACGTTACGAACATGGTGAATATGATGTGGAACCTGGAACTAAGTGGTGTATAATTTTTAATGCTTAACGACTGTCAACGGAACCGTTTAGTCCGTAGTACGCCCGAAGGTACGGCGATCCATGCTCGCTTCCCCAATCGCTCGATTATGACTCCTGCAACTGGTCCTGACTTTCCTGGTTTTGGCGGGCAAACTTCAAGGCACAACCTGTCAGTCTCTTGGTCTGCATGGCAATCTCGGTGCCGCACTACTTGCTGCTGCTGCTTTTCAGTTCCCTCCTGAATCACATCCCAAGAGGAAGAGAGCGATGGAATTATCCCCGTTTTGGGGTTCCCCAATAGCATGATAACGTGGTGATAATGTTATATTGTAGGTAGTGCCTATACCGAAGGCATGGCATGACGGGGATCACGCGTGAACCACGGCTGACGAGCTGCTGGTTTGGCAGTGACTGGCAAGAGATGACGTGTTGGACAGTGCCATCAAACATGGGACGTGGGCGACGGAAAAATGATGTAACATTACGCCTCGCACAATAATTTCGCCTTGCAGGTTACAGATTACAGATTACACTCATATTTCAGACCCTCAAAGACATGGAACATATAAATTGCCAGCTCCCAAAACTCCTGCCGTCGCAGACGCCATAACACCTGCGACTCGCCACGCATCAGCAATATCTCCTGAAGCATATGACCTTCGCCAGAAACTCGCTCAAATTCATTTGGCTCCTCTCCCCCATGACCCGTCCCCCACGCCAGTTCACAAGGGCCCATCACCCTCGCTTGTTCACCAGTGCCAGAGGAGAGGGCGAGAGCACCGCCAGAGGTTCGTTGGTTCATGTACCAACCCCTCCAATTCCCCTGCATCGTACTCGACCGTTTTATCAAACACAAGTCAATCCTTGTGACAAGGTGTGTGTAGTATGGATGGCATCTCCCCCCCTTCCTCTCCATTCGACAGCCACACACGTTGCCTGCCCACCTGTCTGAGGCGGGACAAAATCGCCTCACTTGGTTTGCGCATGCGCCTGATAAACTAGGGGGCAGTGTTCGGGTTTCGTTGGAGAGCCGTTGAAGGAGAAACATTTGCTGCTACTGTACGGAACGGAGAGGATCCTCAGCAAAGCAGTTTCTAGCATATTCGAAGAACCTTTCAAAATCGTGAACTCCGCATAGACAAAACGACCTTGGAACATAGTCTCTCCGTAGGCGAGAGAGCTACTATTGAATAGCTCGCACCATGGCTCGAATGGTTCCACTCTCCGTCCTCGCCCTTCTCGCACTCTTGTCAACCTTCTCGCACCCTCGCACAGCACTAGTCGCCGCCGTCTCAGACAGACGGCAACTAGCGACACCAGCTGCCGACAGCTTTCAGCTGACCGGCGACTCCGGTTTTCACGACGGCGAGTACGACGGTTTAGACGACACGGGGCTGCTGAATCTCTCTGAGGCGGAGCAGGCAGACTTTCTGCGCCAGTCCGAAGCTGAAGAGTCCGACTTCCTGCAGTACGATTCCGAAAGTGTGCCGATTCAGCCCAACAACGCGCAGCGCGCGGCCCTTCTCTCACTCAAGACCGCCTGGGGCTCCGATTTTTTCAAGGCGGAAACGTGGTCGGATGCGGAAGGGGAGCACCAGTGGTGGGGGGTTACTGTAGACTCTGAAGGTGACGTCGTGGCCTTGGAGTTGCCGAACGCGAATTTGGAAGGCGAAATTCCCGAGGAGCTGACGAAGTTTCATGATCTCGCGACGCTGGATTTGCGTGGGAACAAGCTTACTGGAAGCATCCCTGAAGGAATATTTTCCAGCTTGCCTTCACTGCAGGATATCTACTTGAGCGATAATCTGCTGCAAGGGAAGGTTCCCTGGATCGAGTTCTTTTACTCTAATGAATCCAAGGTGTCGACTCTCAGGCTTGATGGGAATAGGTTTTCGGGCAAGATTCGTCCCAAAGCTTTCGATAACGCGACTTCACTTCAGGCTCTCTTTTTGGGCAACAACAAGTTCTACGGGAAGATCCCACGGAGTCTCGGCAGCTGCAAAGAGATATCCGTCATCGATTTGAAGAACAACGAGTTTTCGGATCTGATGCCGACTACTATCGCCGATCTTCCCGGCCTTGAAGTGTTGGACGTTAGCGAGAACAAGCTGACCGGACCGATTCCCAACTTCCTCGGGCGACTCCCCAGTTTAGTCAACCTCGACTTAAGCAATAATCAGTTTTCTGGCCTTGTACCGGATTCATTCAAACTGTTTTCGCACAAGGCGCGCGCGGTGAAAATTGGAGACAACTTTCTGACTGGGCCTCTGCCTCAGTTTCCCCGCTTCTCTAAAGGCTGCGGCATTAACGGTGTAGGAGGCTTGGACACCACATCGTGTTACATGCTTCGGTCTCTTTTGGATTTTGAGGGCAACTTCTTTTACGGAAATTACTCGCTGGACATTCAGCTGCCCGGCTCGGAGAACCTTCCTGCCATGTCAACAGTCTGCCCGTACGAGTACCCTGAAAGCATCTACGTCAACGATAACTGCCTGAGCTCCACGGATTTGTGCGAAGTGGAGAAGCAGCGGCCACCTAAGGAGTGCGATGAGTTTTGCGGGACTGGCAGTCCCGAGGGGCAGTGCGGGGGAAAGGGGGTTTGTGTGCTGAACCACTTGGAGGGGAGTGGCCAGAAATTTGTTTGTGAGTGTGAACCGGGGTTCCTCCCCATGGGCAACCCTTCCACTTGCGTGAAGGGCTGAAGGGGGTGCGGGAAGCAAGGGGTGGTGGTGAACATGGGGTGTTTGTGAGAATGGCGTGGGAAGGGTGTGTGTGGTAGCTTGGGGGTCTGGTGTCATGACTTCCATATTTGCAAGAGCAGCAATTACACGGCTTATTGGGTGTGTGAGTTCCCAATGGATGAGGGGGGGGAAGAGGTGGATGAGTGAAGTGAGTGGCATCTAGGTTCCTGATGCCCTTGACACACTGTGCATAGAGTTTATGTTTGTGCATTCAGTATTCCAGGTCTAATTTGTTTATATTATGAAGAGGCTTGGTTGACAAGCTCTAAGCCGGTAGATTGAAAAAACATGAATCCTATATCTAATATTTTGCACATCCAGCCCAGAACAAGAAACTTCAGCATATGCTCGTGGGGTGAGCAAACGCAACGAGTTGACTGTACCGCGAGAAAGCAGTACTGTGCGCGCACCAGCCCTTCCCTCGGAGTTATTCCATGACCTCCCAGTGCTGCTGTTTCATTGGTCCAAACTTGTCCCTCGAGGTTGTTCCATTTCATGTACACTGCATACCCGTTGTGGAGTAACAGAATCCTCCAAGGAATCTTTGCAAAGAGCACGCCATCGCCAAGCAAGCAAGCTTGATACGGTAGAACAGGAGAAGCTGTTTTGGCGGGTGCTTTGTTCGACTAGTGTCAGACTCAAAAGTCAGAACTCGAGTTGAAGCTTTGTCTGTCGAGGTCGAGTTTCGTGAAAGGTCTACAGCGTAACACCCTGACTCGACTTCCGTGTTTCTTGCTCCTGTTTTCACAAGCTCCCACTGGCGAGCTAGTTACGGGCCCATTCGTCTTTTCATAAATATGAGTCGGCATCCCGTCCCTCGATAGGTTCTCAAAGACACGTCGGTCTGTCGCGTTGATAGAAGCCTCTCGCGTAGGTTGTATTTCGTTTCTGCACCCGGACGCAGGGAATTCCTTCCTTCAGTACAGAAGCGCCACGAGCATTGGGAATGGTTAATCAGGCCTTGTTCTTGTGTAGTTTAGACCTTCTTGAAAGCAGATCCTGATTTAGAAGCTGATTGCGTGCAGCGAGACCGAGGCAGGCTAGGTTCCTTATAGGAGGTTCCGGAAAGAGAACACAATGGCCACCAAACCCCTGACGTTGTATTTGCTCGTTGGTGCAGGTAAGACCTTTGACCTGTGACGACGCAAGGGGTGTCAAAATCGTACCCGTTCATTTATCTGCTCCTTCCTTGAGCTCTGAGCTTCGAGAATTTCCGAGCTCTGTTTGTCTTCGTTTGTGGCTTCCTCGATATGGTCAACGAAGTTTGTAAACAGATTCGGGCCTTGGACTTCTTACACCAATCGATCTGAGCAGCTCGTTTCCCGATCGAACTCTTTCTTCCGCGTTCAACCTCGTTGCCATTCGTTGCGCCGGCTGCCGGCTTACGTCGTATTCGTCATTCGTTACGCGCAGGTGTAGCTGGTGTAAGCATTCTCGGTCCCGCCAAATTCGCGGATCTCCTACGCGATATTACTCGGGTGCGTGCCTCTCGTCCATCCCTGTACGCGTTATCGTCATCATTCGTGACGGATTAAAAGGTTGTTCCGTTGTCTTCTTTCCTGGTAATCTACTCAACTTCTCGCGATCTTTACCTTCTTCTCACAACCTCGCCCTCACGCATTTGACTTCTGGCCCTCCCTCTCTCGTACTTGCCGTGCCTGTCTCGATCTTACGCTTCATTGTGAAAGTACCTTTCTTCACCGTAATCTGCTTCCTACGAGCCTCTTTTAACCGCAGTCCACCTTCAATAATCTCTTTAGCAAACCTTTGGACGTTCCCCCCCCCTTCCCCGCCGCCTTCTCTTCTTCAAACGCCTCGCAGCCTGTTTGATCACTATGCGCTTTAGTTGGCAATAGCTCCCCCTTGAATAAGCCACCACCCCTCCCCCCGCCCACCGCTCCGCCTCGTTCATTGGTTTCCTTCCTCAACTTTCTCCCCGCCTTTTGTGCTTCTCCTGCCCGTTCTCCGTCCTGTTCATTCCGGGCAGGTGGTATCGAAGCACCTGAAGTCGATAGAGGATGGATCCGACAGCAAGAGAGACCACACAGATGACGTCAACATGGCACTCATCGACCAGGTACGGTGTCCTGCCTCCTGCATTGATCTACCAGGTATGAACCTGCAGCAACCTGCTGCTGCTGCACTGATGGACCAGATCAGGTATGGTGCTGGAAGACGTTGATGATGGATGAGACAGCAAGAGAGACCACACAGATGACGTTAACATGGCACTGATCGACCAAGTATGGTGTCCTGCCTCCTGCTGCTGCTCCTCCTCCTCCTGCTGCTGCTACTGCTGTTGTTCCTGTGCTGCTGCTGCTGCTGCTGCTGCTGCTGCTGCTGCTGCTGCTGCCGCCGTCGCACTGATCGACCAGGTGTGGTGTCCTGCTGTTGCTCATCCTCCTCCTGCTGCTGCTGCTGCTGCTGCTTCTGCATTGGTCGATCAGGGTACATTGTTACTGCTGTTTTGGTGGGCGGGGGTGGTTCTGTTTTTCTGCTCTCGCTTTTTTATGAGGCTCTTTATCCGAGAGGAATCATTTCAGTCGACTCAAAAGTCACCTCTTTATCTGAGAGGAAACTTTTGAGTCGACTCAAAAGTCACCTCTTTATCTGAGAGGAAACTTTTGAGTCGACTCAAAAGTCACCTCTTTATCTGAGAGGAAACTTTTGAGTCGACTCAAAAGTCACCTCTTTATCTGAGAGGAAACATTTGAGTCGACTCAAAAGTCACCTCTTTATCTGAGAGGAATCATTTATATTGTGTCAACTTGGCTGTTGTGATCCACCCCCCCAATTCGTTTCATTTTGTCCTTCAACAACTCTCCTTCCCCACACCCTCCTCCCCACTTCCCCCGCTTTTTCACACTTTCCTCCCTCCTGCATGTCTAGCATAGAAGCCGATGTTTATTGACCTGCATTTGACGTCAACAGCATTTCATCCCTGCCGTTTGCACCCATGTCATTGGAACCTTCCTCGCAGGTTCACAAGCTGAGCCTGCAGGTGCAGCAGCTCTCCACCAGCTCTCGACCAATCACAGTCGTCAACGCTCCACCTGCACAAGAACGAGGTAAGGAGGTTCTATAGGAGGTGTAGGTGATCGAGTAAGAGTTCTCACATCTTACTCGTACCTCCACAAAATCCACAAAATCCACAAAATCCACAAAATCTGTAATATGGAGGTACGGAGGTTTAGTTAAATGTTGCCGCCTCTAATCTGTGACATCTAATTAGCACTTTGCATCTGTCATGACGTATAATTCGTTTTGTGTGCGTCCTGATTTTCTGTTTGCCCCTTGTGGCCGTTGCATGTGTGCAGGGGGGAGCATTGTGGGATATGTGATACCTGTGGCAGTCATTGGTGCGGCAGGTTATGGAGTCATGTGGTGGAAGGTGCGTGTGTGTGCGCGATGGTACTGTAGGCATGGTGGTGGTGACATGACATGACATGACGTGGCATGATGGTGCTGGCATAGCACAACGTGGCATGGCGGTGTTTGTGTGTGGGTGCAGTGGAGGGAGCATCGTGGGGCATGCAGTGCCGGTGGCTCTTACTGGTACGGTCGGATATGGGGTCTTGTGGTGGAAGGTGTGTGTGTGTGTGTGCAATCATGGACCTGGGATGGTGTGGTGTTGGCATTGCATGGCATGGCATGGTGGTGTTTATGTGTGTGGGTGCAGGGAACATTGTGGGATGGCAGTCATTGGTGCAGCTGCTATGGGTTCATGTGGTGGAAAGTGCATGAGTGTGTGCAATCGTGGTGCTGGCACGGTGTGGTGTTGGCATGGCGTGGTGGCAGTGCATAGCATGGTATGGTATGGCATTACATGGTATGGCATGCCGCAGGGTGTGACACCAGTGCACACGACCAGTGCCACCTTCTCTGTCTGTCTGCGTCTCTCCGTGTGCAGGGCTGGCGAGTGAGGGATCTCATGTACGTGACCAGGAGGGGCATGGACCAGGCAGTGAACCTGATGGGGGACAAGGTAGCAAACCGTCTATCGACCTCCTTCCTCCCTATCCGCCTTCGTTCTCTTGTTGTGCAGGGCTGGCGAGTGAGCGATCTCATGTACGTGACCAGGAGGGGCATGGACCAGGCGGTGAAGCTCATGGGGGCGAAGGTGACGGAGCTGCAAACAGCCCTTGATGTGAGTATGAGCTTCCCAGGCACTTTGGACTTGAGTAGCAGACGTGCAGGCAGGCAGCTGTGGTTTTCTTAGGGAGATGATGTTTTGGAGAAGAGCATTGAAGAGAAGTTGATAATGGCCGAGGGGCTGTCCGCCACTATCCCGTTCGATGTAAGCACAACCCCCCCCATCCCCCGTTCCTCCCCCATTCTCACCTGCAGACGGCCAAGAAGCAGTTGGCTGGGCGGCTGGAGGGAGTGTCCAAATCGGTGGCAGAGGGGCTGAAGATGCAGGCGATAATAAAGAAAGATGTAAGGAAATGTGACTGTAAGAAAGGAAGAGCGGTGTGTCAAGGGTATTTTTTATGGGTGCCCAAGTCAGTGGCTGAGGGGCTGAGATATCCAGGCGATCATAAAGAAGGACGTGAGTGACTGACAAGGATGTGACTGTATCAGAGCAACTGAGGGGTTGGATGTCTTATAAAGTAGTAAGGTGCGACCAGGAGGGAGGGAGTGTCCAAGTAGGTGGCCGAGGGGCTGAAGATGCAGGCGGTTATAATGAAGGACGCGAGTGGCTCATATAAGGTGTGACTATAATGAAGCGAGGGAGGGCTGGGTATGTTTTTAAAGGGTGGTGGTTAGGTGTGACCAGGAGGAAGGGAGTGCCCGAGTTGGTGGCCGAGGGGCTGAAGATGCAGGTGGTTATAAGAAAGGCGTGATTGACTGATTCAGGTTGTGACTGTAACGTAGCAAGTGAGGGGCTGAGTGTGCTTCTAACGAAGCAAGTGGAGTAGCTGGGTGTGAAAAGCATCCGGTGAGTCACCCTTTGGGTTTTACTTTTGGGGCACCTTATGATTCGTCTGTCGTGTTGGTGAAGGTCATCACTCAAAGCCCGAGTCTCAAATTGCAAGCCGCGCGGGTCAAGTTTTGAAAACGTGATGCTGAGCAGCTTGCAAACTTGAAGAAGGTGCAGCTGCAATTTGGGACTTTCTAGCTCCTAGCAGGGGAAAGTTGAGGATTGGCTGCGTGTTGCGAAAAAAAAGAGATTGACGAAATTTACCCTCTCTCGCCACAACCCGAAAACTGAACTACCTCCTCCTCAACCTTTCAAAACATGAACAAATTTGGGCCAACGGTTCAACTTTTGTCCAATGGGCTTATGACAGTCGACTCAGCAGTCACGTAGTCTCAAGATTCTTTGATCCTTGGACTTAGGGTTGAGCAAAAAAACGAACACCTGTTCGGTTCGCCTCGAACACGTTCGAGGCGAACCGAACAGGTATTTTTTTTTTGGCTTAAAATGTTCGCCGAACAGTGTTCGATGTTCGCCCGAACACGTTCGTGTTCGGGCCGCTGCTGCAATTTGCCCGCGACGAACACGAACAGTGTTCGAGGTTCGCCCGAACACGCCTTCACAGGCGAACGGCGAACACCATTTTTTGCGCAAAGTGTTCGCCGAACCGAACAGTGTTCGGTTCGGCAAACGAAGGTGTTCGTGTAGGGGCGAACACGAACACGTTCGTGTTCGCCACTTGCTCATCCCTACTTGGACTCGAAACTCGAAGAACCAAAGCCCTGAACCCTCTCCGTTCCCCTCCCCTTTAAAATCGTCCCTCGCAGGTTATCGAGGTGAAGGAAGTGGTTATCACCTGTGTGCTTGTGACCCCAGTCATTTCTAGAGGCTGTTGAACCCGAATCTTAAAGCCTAGCTCCCTTGCTTCCTGCCCTTGCAGGTTATTGAGGTGAAGGGGGTGGTTACCAGTGTGAGTCGAGACCTGGACAACATGCATGGGCTGGTGGAGGGCATGGTGAGTGGAAACGGGGGGGGTGCGGGGTAAGTGGTGCAGGGTTGGAACTGGCACGTGTAGCTTATCCTCGAGTTACCAGTGTGAGTCAAGACCTGGACAACATTCACGTTTGCGGGCAGATTTTTTTCCTTCAGCTGCCCGGCTGAAGTAAAAAAATTATGGTATTCGAAATCGGCATTGTTAATTGTATAACATAGAATCTAACAACACAGAATTACTTGTGATGTGATGTGTGTTAAGTTTCGCGAGGTGTACAAACCAGCTCGCGCCTTGTCCCAATTTCACGCGATATTGCGTAAGTCAATGCGTTTCCCCAATGCGTTACTCCGAATCAGTCCCCGCTAACCCTCCCAGTCCCACGACGTATGCAGGCTGTAGAGCCTTTAGATTGACGGCCGAATGCAACTTCATAGATCTACCATGCTAAACTAAGATCTTAGAACCCATGACCTACCATTTTTAGTTACAACCTTAGTTAAGATCTAACATATTACCAGGCTGTATCTGCTGGTCCGCTGCCCTGAACGGTTCCGCGGCGACATTTCGCAAAAAATTAAGACCGAACGAACGATTTTCCAACGATTTTTTTTACCTGCCCGGACCCAACTTACGCGTATTTACGCGTACGTAAACGTAAACGTAATGTTACGCGTAACATTACGTTTACGTAGTGCCAGGGACGTACGGACCCATCTTAGGTGCGAGTCAAAAGACCTTGACAACATGCATGGGCTGGTGGAGTGGAGGGCATGGTGAGTGGGAGGCGGGGTTGTGATTGCAGTGGGAGTTTTGTGAAACTTCAAGGCGAAGTCGCTCACCCTCCTCACGCACACGCTCCTCCTCGATTCACGCGGTTTTTATATGGGTAACATTTTCGTTCCATAGATGTGTTTTGTGAAAAAAAACTAAATCTCGCGTAGTTCTTGCAGGGCATTGCCACCCGTGCGTGCTGTTGTTCTCATGTGTCTCTCTGTCACGTGTTGTCTGTGTGTGCCCTCTGCCATGCCATCCTCTCCCTCTGCTTTTCTTCACACGATACCAAGCTGGCCTCGCTCGAGCAGAAGCAGGACATTGCCACATTGCTGCGCTCATGTGTCTCTGTCTTGTGTCTTGCAATTCTCCTGCCTGCAACCCCGGGCCTGCAGGATACCAAGCTCGCATCGCTCGAGCAGAAGCAGGACATTGCCACACGGGGAGTGCTGCTGCTGTGCAGTTTCGTGAGCAGAGGGCTGCAGGGCAACCCCGGCAACCAGGAGCTGCTGAAGGTGAGGTGGGGGAGTTTTGGTGGATTATGGGGTCAAAGAGTGTGAGTAAGAACAGAGGCGGGCAGTAAGTGGTTTGCTGCTCTGCAGCTTCATGAGCAGAGGGCTGCAGGGCAACCTCGGCAATTAGGAGTTCCGGAAGGTGAGTAGCGGTGGGGTGGGGTTTGGAGGGGCTGATGGAGTGTGCGAGCAAGAGGACATCTCCACTGTGTGAACAGAGGGCTGCAGGAGAGCCTTGGGAACCAGGAACTGCTGAAGGTGACAAGTGGTGGGAGGAGGGCGGAGGTATATTTGTGCGACTTTTGGGAATTCTCAAAAGTCGTGAGAATTCTCAAAAGTCGTGAGAATTCTCAAAAGTCGTGAGAATTCTCAAAAGTCATGAGAATTCTCAAAAGTTGTGAGAATTCTCAAAAGTCGCACGAAGAGGGCTGCAGGAGAAACTTGGGAACCAGGAACTGCTGAAGGTGACAAGTGCTGGGAGGAGGGGGGAGGGGTTGGGCGGATGTGGTTCAGTGGGTGGTTGATGCGGTCCAGTGTGGTGAGCGGTCTATGTCTTTGCAGCTTGCGCTTCCTCTCTTTTTCCATCTACTCAAGTTTCCATATCCCAGGGCGTGGTGGACATGTCACTTGTGGTTGTGCTACAGATTGCCTTTTGAGGCGCCTCAAAAGTTGTGGCGGACATGTCACAGATGGCTGTGCTACAGATTGCCTTTTGAGGCGCCTCAAAAGTTGTGGCGGACATGTCACTTGTGGTTGTGCTACAGATTGCCTTTTGAGGCGCCTCAAAAGTCGTGGCGGACATGTCACAGATGGCTGTGCTACAGATTGCCTTTTGAGGCGCCTCAGAAGTCATGGCGGACATGTCAGTTGTGGTTGTGCTACAGATTGCCTTTTGAGGCTCCTCAAAAGTCGTGGCGGACATGTCACAGATGGCTGTGCTACAGATTGCCACGGGCAAGGGCATCACGCTCATCTGATCTCCCTTCTTCTTGTCTGGAGCCCATCTACTCTGCTCCCAATGCATCAAGGCCTGGCGCACATGCCGCAGATGGCTGTGCTGCAGAGTGCCACGGGCAAGGGCATCACGCTCCAGCTCTCTCCTGCCCTCCCTTGTGCTCCTGCCATCTGCTTTCCTCTCATTCTCTCAGGGCCGGGCGGACATGTCTCAAATGGCCGTGCCACAGGTCGCCACGGGCAAGGGTCCAGCTCATTCTCTTTTTCTGTCATCTCCCTTCCTTCCTCTCCCTTCCTCTCTGCCTTCCTCTCTGCCTTCCCATCTACTCTCAGGGCCTGGCGGACATGTCACAGATGGCCGTGCCTCAGCTTGCCGCGGGGAAGGGCGCGCCAGCAGGGGGGGCAGTGGGGCTATCAGGGCTGAAGGAGCTTGAATTCATCTCGTCTGCTTTGGAATCTTCCGTGCACCATACAGGTAAGGGTGCAGGTGGGAGTGGTGCTACAGGGGAGGGGTAGGGGAGTAGGGGGGAGATGTGGGCAGTGGTGCTGTCGGGGCTCAAGGAGCTTGAGTTCCTCTCGTCTGCCTTCGAGTCCTCTCCTTGGTGCACCACTCAGGTGGGAAGTACTGATGTTACTGCTTGGAGGGGGGGGGGGTTGGGGGGTTCGGGAAGCAGTGGGGCTGTCTGGGCTCAAGGAGCTTGAGTTCCTCTCGTCTGCCCTCGAGTCCTCTCCTTGGTGCACCACTCAGGTGGGAAGTACTGATGTTACTGCTTGGAGGGGGGGGGGATGGGGGGTTCGGGAAGCAGTGGGGCTGTCTGGGCTCAAGGAGCTTGAGTTCCTCTCGTCTGCCCTCGAGTCCTCTCCTTGGTGCACCACTCAGGTGGGAAGTACTGATGTTACTGCTTGGAGGGGGGGGGGATGGGGGGTTCGGGAAGCAGTGGGGCTGTCTGGGCTCAAGGAGCTTGAGTTTCTCCCAACTGCTCTCGAGTCCTCGGTGCACCTCTCAAGTGGGGGTGTGGGTGTGTTGCTGGTGAAATTGTTGGTAGTGGTGCTTCTGTGGGTGGGGCAGTGGGGCAGTGGGGCAGTGGGGCCATTTCTCTGTCGGGGCTGAAGAAGCTTGAGTTCATCTCGTCTGCCCTCGAATCGTCCGTGCACCACTCAGGTGGGGATTGGGGTGTGTGTTTGGGGCTGCTGCTGCCGCTGGTGGTGGTGTGGCTAGTGCTGCAGCAGGACGGGCAGTGGGGCTGTCGGGGCTGAAGGAGCATGAGTTGATTTCCTTGGCTTTGAAATCCTCCGTCCACCACTCAAGTATTCGTGGAGGTAGGGATGGTGCTTCTGGTGTGGTTGCTGGTCGTTGCGAGTGCCGGTGATACCAGCCAACCATGTCTCTTCACCCCTGTTGCCTGTATCTCTCCATTCTCTTCTTCTCCACCAATTCCTCCTCCCCCTCCTTGACCTCTGTTTACCTATCCCTCCATTCACTCCCACTCCGCCCATCCCTTCTCCCTTCCCATCTGTGCCACTGTTTCAGGGAACCTGCCTCTCGATCCTGCCTACACGTACCAACCCACTCGCCAAGCCTCCTACCAAGCCTCAACAGCAGGTTTGGAGCGGCAAACCTCTGCATCAGCAACGGCACCGGCCGCAGCAGGAATTGCATCCAGACACTCATTCGGAGCAGGAGGGGCGGCGGCAGCTGCAGCAGCCGCAGCAGCGATTGCAACAGTGTCAGGGAGATCTCGAGGGGACAGTGTATCTGGACTAGGGGTAGGGGTAGGAGGAGGAGGAGGAGCAGGAATGCATGGATTGGGGCCAGAGCGAGGGATGCACGGAGCAGCAGCAGCACATGGTTTGCATACGGCAGCACCTGCAGCAGCACAAGGTTTACATGCATCTGGAGCAACAGCAGAGGCGGCTGTGGTTCAGAGCGTGAGAGAGGCCGGGGATGTGGTGTTGAGGCGAGGAGTGGTGATTGAGGAGGTGGGGGATGGAAGGGAGGGATATGGGCGGCCGCGTCCAGCGAATGAGGTGTCGCCACCTCGTGCTCGTGAAGGAGTACCTGGCGGTTATCCACCAAGGTGTGTCCCAAGTGTGTGTGTGTGTGTGTGTCTTTTTTTTCTGTTTGTGTAAATTTTATTCTTGTGTTACTGCAAATTATGATGGCAGCTCCTAGCAGAACTGGTTTGGTCAAGCCCCACTTGTGATTCACTCCAATTTCCACCTGGCCTACTTTCCCTGGCATCTCACTTCTCTTGTTTCCAGGAAGCTGAGGCATGCTCGTTTCGGAGACTGAAGAAGACTGTTTATCAGCATACATGGCCAAGATTGGCGTGAGCAATTTAAACAAGTCCAGTTTACATGAGATGCCAGTTGACATGCTGCACCATAACATGTTGACTGGCCCTTTCATGTCATGCTACTACTATTTGGCTAAATTCTTTCGCAATGGGCATTGTTGTTGTGATAGATCTGAAGTTGCAGATTACATTGGCAAGAAACTGAAGTAAATGAAAGCAAAAAAAGGAGGTGCATCTTTGAGTGGAGGTCCCCGAATTAGGGACAGAACTACAAGCAGGGGGTAGCCCCTGAAAACGGACAGCTAAAAGGAGTATGGCAAAGAGTATCCTAACCAAGTCATGCCGCCATTCACAGAGAGATGCTGGGAGTACACTGCTCGTTGTACTTCTTAGCGGAAAACGGGTCCAGCTGCATCGTGCATTCCACATGCACCATAACGCGTGGCGACGAGATGCCCCAGTATTTCACGCGCGCTGCAGTGCCAACCACCACCCGCATTTCCGCGCGCCCATGCAGCAGCGGCGTCGTCAGCAGGCTCGCGGGACTCAGCGTCGCCAGGGGCGCGTCGACAATATCGAGGGGGACAGTCAACTCCGCGCTCCCACCCTTGCTCATGCCCACGACGCCAGGAATGGTCACATTTGTAACATTCATGTCGAAGAATTTTACGTCCACGCTGATGTTTTCCGCTTCCACGTCCCAGTTGTTGGGGTTATACACGAGCGCGGTGACGTTTATTAACGCGGATAGGCCCAGGCGGAAGTTTTCGAGGCCCAGGAACCCGCCGCCGGATTTTGTGATGCCGACGCGGAGGATGTTGATTTGCTCGACCTTCACCTCCGGCTGTTGCTTCGAGACTGTCAGGTATGCGACGAGCCCTGCGACGCCTAATCCGACGATAACGACGGTGAGGACGATAAGCAACCAGCATGTGATGCGGCAGCAGCAGGTCCGGCGACGACGCCTCCGGCGATCCTTCTCGTCCTTGCGAAGCTTCTCTGTTTCGTCTGCAGTGCTGGCTACTTCTTTAGGTTTGGCGATGTGCAAGTCGGAAGGGTAAACCGCGGTGAACTCTCCCGGGTTCTCCTCGTCGCCGCTGCCACTTGCGGAAACTGCGTTCCGCGCAAGCGGAGGCGCGCAGCAAAAAACTGGAAGCGATTTCTGAGGGGATGAGGAAACTGGAAGCGAAGCGTCTGGGACTGAGAAAGCGGAGTTTCCTGATTCAATGTCCCCGTCCGATGCTACCTGTTGTGTCGACCTTGAAATCCGTGAATCGTTAACGAGAGCCATATAGCCTGAAGGCGAGTGTGTATGGGGATGGTAGACGACGTGAGATGGTTGAGCGGACTTGTGTGGTCAAGTTGATGATTGGAGTTGCTTCGAATTGGTCTGTTAGGAATGGGCTTGCTCTTGCATATTTATCGTGCAAGTGAGGGGGAGAAATGTCGAAGTTCCGTGGCCCCGCCCCACCTCCACGTCACATTCTGGCCAGCCCTTGAACCGAGTCGCGCCCAGGGCAATCGCGGTCCGCTGTGCAGGATTTGGCAAATGAAATGGCGGAACCGAAGCTTCTTCGTCGCCTGGTAATTGGGGATGCGGACAAACGAACAAGACGAACCAGCCAACACGGCTCGGTGAGCCTCCCTCCAGAAGCCCATATTTCCAACCAGCCCAGCCTAGCCATTCAGGTTAGTGCTGGATTTTTTACAAGAAACATGCTACTTATGTGAGTGTAATAAACATTCCTTACTAAGACCAGCGACACCACGTACAGCAGCAGCCTTTGTTTGCCCGTTACTGCTAATGGGGCTTCGCCAACTTCGCGCGCACTGTTTCACTAAACCTCCCACTGCTGGCCCGACCGTGTCGGTCTACGCTTCGGGACTAGCCTGAACCTTGCTACCAACGTAGCACTAGCTAGCTCGCACGCACCGCGTTGTCGTTTTGCATGTTTCGCGTACAAATGTTCGTTCATGCGTTCGCTCACATTTTGTACTCGTTTGATACTTATTAGTGCAATCCTTGTTACCTCGATCCATTGTACCCGTAACATTTGGTATCAGAGCTTCTTTCATTTTCGGGCCACGCATCTCCGCACCCCAGAGAGGCAAAATTTATTTTTTCACTCGAAAGGACTCACGCACCTTAGCCCCTATGAGCCATTGTCCTCGCGTTCTCTCGTAAACGCGTGCAGCCACGACCTCGCCTAGACTGAGTCGAGCCGACGCCCTTCACCATGGCTGAACACATCGACGTCACCATTCTCACACAGGACCGTTTGAACTGTTGGACTGAAAAGTCATAGGATCTTTGTAAAGCTTAAAGTCTGAGTAGGATTGTAATAGCGGAAGCGTATGAATGAAAGTGTTTGAACCACCTTGCGCTGGTATGTGAGGGCAAAGTAAGTTGAATTAAACAAACAGATACAAGGTTTATATAAGAGTACAAGGAATACGAATAGATAGATTTAAACCGTTTTACTGTTGCGATTCGATACAGTGCGACTCGGGCAACTGCTCAATGTCGAGTCAGTTTGTGTGTCCTTGCTGTCGCGCTGTAATTGTCGAGTCAAAGGTCGCTGACCTTTGACTTTCCCGTAACCTCCAGGCGGTTACCCTAACCTCCGAGGGTTGACTCGCGATGCTTCGATTCCGACTGCTTCGTTAGTGTCCTAAGTTTCGACACGACAGAGGCGCTTAAGACTTATTGTTCCCAACACTCCCCTTCGCTTCTGGAGTGTCGCTGATGGTGACGTGGCCTTGTCCAGTCAGCAGCATGCAGTACTCGAACTTCTGTTTTCCGAGTTTCTTGGTCAAATAATCGGCTGCCATCTCGGACGTGGGACAGTAGGATAATTTGAGTTTCCCTTTCTCGATCTCGTCCTTCACGAAGAAGTATCGCAGAGCGATATGCTTCGTTCTGTTCGCGAATCCGCTTTTGTTGGCGATGCAAATTGCAGATTGGTTGTCGCAGAACAGGGTGAAGTTGGGTAACTCGGCTAACTTTGCTTCTTCCAGCAGCTCGCGAAGGTAGAGTCCTTCTTTGGTGGCTGAGCAGAGGGCGATATATTCTGCTTCAGCTGAAGAGAGAGCGATTAGTTCCTGCTTAGTCGACTGCCAGGAGATAAGTCCGATAGGCTCGAGACGATATACGTAGCCAGTGCGAGAGCGCCTGTTATCAGAATCGCCGGCATGGTCAGCATCGACGTAGCCGATCAGTTTCGTTGTCGTAGCTTCGCCCTTGTAGTAGGTCAGGCCGATTGTCGGTGTGCTCACGAAGTAGTGTAGTGCGCGATCGAGCTCCGCCATGTGCTCTGCTTCGGGTTTCTTGAGATAGGTGGCGAGTTGACTCGCGGAGTAGGATAGATCCGTGCGACAGGTGACGGCTGCGAAGAGGAGGCAGCCCAATTTCCTCTGGTAGTCTCGTATTCCGGCAGCCTTAAGTGGAGTGGAATTTCCTTTGCCGCTTCCTGTCGTGTGGCGGTATGGCGTGGCGATGGCGGTAGGCGTGAGCGAGAAGCGCTTGGCGATAGTGTCAGCGTATTTCTCAACATCCGAGAAATGCTATCTACCTCTTCGCGGATGTTGAGCCCGAGATACTGGGTGACGGTGAAGGAGACGGTGAGCGTGAGGTCCTTCTGCACCTCCCCTTCGAACCAGGTGATGACGTCGTCAGTGGAGCCGATGTAAAGCAAGTCGTCGACATAGACGATCAGTAAGATGTAGTCTGCGCCTTTGGTGAGGCGATACATTCCTTGGTCGTGAGGCAGTTGTCGGAATCCGATGCGGGTGAGGCGGGTGTGTAGGTGCTAGC